CGCCATCACTATTCATTGGCAACTCATTCACTGGAAGTTGTTTGTTAGAGGTCGCTTGTTGGAGATTGCCTTTCTGTGGATCTTGCATCTCTGTGGTTACTTATTAGAGATCGTTGTACATCGTCCCTTTAGCTCGATTTTTTGAGTGCATCGCAGCCCAAATCTCGACTCATCTCACCCAAAGAATTTTGTCTCCAAATCGTCTCTCTGGGACTCGACCCTTCATTGAAAGTTGTTTTCCTAGAGCTCAATGTTGATTCTTCCTCAAACACCTTTGGATTCTGTTGGACACCTAGAGCATTTCATCTCCAAATCGTCTCTCTCTAGGACTCGACCCCTTTATTGGAAGTTGTTTTCCTAGAGTTCAATGTCAGTTCTTCCTCAAACATCTTTGGATTCCACCAGAGGTTGCCTTTGGCTCAAACGCAAAATGAGTGTTTGACCCTAATCTGGCATCCACACCTGTTTTCGCCTTGTACTCCCGCTTTAGACTCGACAAATCATTCTCAATCATTATCTTTGCTTGTTGTGCTGAGTCTCTCATGTAGGAGTGCCCTTTGCTGTGTTGGAAGCTTTCCACACTACACAGGAGAGATTTTCAGACTGAACTGGCCAAGCTGTTGAACTAGGTTCACTTGAATCGGCTGAGTGAACCGGGTAAGTTGAACCGCTTTCTGGACCAATTTTCTTGATATATACTGTGAACATGGCTAATTTTTTCAAGGTTACTTCCAATCTCTCTAAGGATTCTCCAAAGCTGAACCTTTGGTTTTCACCAATTATCTTAGTGCTCCTTTTTCTACTAACAAATTGGATGGAAGTAATAATGATACTTAGACATTTGACATCAAGTTGTGGCTTACCGCCCAAGGCTATGAAGATCATCTTACCAAAAAAAAACTAAGTTTGTACCTACTGAGGAACAAGCTAAGTAGAAAAAGATTGATGCCTAGCTATGTAGCATAATAAAATCTACTATTCATTCCTTCTTGAAACAAATAGTTTGTGGTCATCTCACTTGCGAATTTGTTTGGGAGTAAGCCAAAGTTCTTTATGATAATGATAGTCAATAACTCTACAAGGTTTGTTATGATCTTATGAACCTCGTTGCACATCTAAAATTTGAAGGCTTTATGTTTAGCTATTTGGGCAAGGTTCATGGTACTTTACATGACTTCAACGAATTGCTGCCCCCTATGAAGATCCCGATGCAAGAACTTGAGCAACAGATTACATTTTTTATGCTACTAACATTATATGGTTTGCCTCTGGAAAACTCTACTAATTGTGACCAGATTTTGGGCTTTCCCATTGTTCCTACTCTATCCATGGTTTGGTCTACTTTGCTTCGGGTTTCGACTAAAAAGTCATTGATCCTAATGCTCCCTCTCATAATGACACCACAGCTCTTGTCCTTTAGAATAGCACCTGTGGTCACTCTCGAGAAAATAATTTTGGAAAATCCCATCCTAAATGTGATCATTGCCATTGCTTGGATCATACCATTGATAAATGCTGGACTCTACATGGTCGGCCTTCACAGACTACTAATGTGGCCCAGGTTGTTCCTTCTAATATACTTGAGCCCTCAAACCAGTCTCGTCTGTCTCCAGCCGACTATGAAGATTTTTTAAAATGGTTTGAGCAACAACAAACTTTTGACTCCACTGCTTTTATTGCGCACACTAGTAAGTCATTTGTTTGTCTCTTTCTCAGTCATCATCCCTTGGTCCATGGGTCCTCAATTCAGGTTCATCAGATCACGTTTCTGGAAATAAATCCCTTTTTTCTAAACTTTTTAACTCTGGTCATTTGCCCAATGTTACTTTAGCTAATGGTTCCCACACACAATCTCATGGGATTGGCACTGCACATCATTTTCCTTCTATGATAATTGATTTGTACTATATGTTCTTGGATGCCCTTTTAATTTATTTTCTATTAGTTATTTGACTCATTCTCTTGATTTTGTCATTACTTTTACTAAAGACTCTATCATTCTGCAGGATCAGAGCTCGAGACGGACGATTGGCACTAGATGTGAGTCCGTGGCCTTTACCACCTCTCCAACCATTCTTGAGTTTGCTTTGCCATGGCTCTTTTCTCACTACCTATGCTTAGTTGGGTCATCCTAGCAAAACTGTAAAAAATGGGGCCAAGTCTCTCCGAATTGTCAAACTTACCTTGAATATGTCAATTGGGAAAGCACACACGTAGCCCGTTTCCCAATAGAGTCTATCGTCAAGCCTCGTCTCCATTTGCTTTAGTTCATTGTGATGCATGGGGTCCTAGTCGAGTTGTGTCTACTTTAGGTTCAAGATATTTTGTTACTTTCATCGATGATTATTTATGTTACACTTGGTTATTTTTAATGCAAAACAGGTTTGAATTGTTTTTTATCTTTAAAAACTTTTATCAAGAATTTAAAACTCAATTTGGCATTCCAATTCGCACTTTGTGAAGTGATAATGCCTTTTCAACATTTGGCATTCTTCATCAAACGTTTTGTGCATACATCCCTCAACAAAATAGGGTTGCTAAATGCAAAAATAGACATTTTGTAGAAACTACTCGGACCCTTCTACTTCATGGACATGTTCCTTTTCATTTTAGGGGTGATGTAGTTTTCACTACTTGCTACTTAATTAATCACATGCCCTCATTCGTACTTGATAACCGGATTTCTCATTTTGTGTTATTTCCCTAGCAATCTCTACATTCTCTTCCACCTCGTGTTTTCGAGTTGACTTATTTTGTTCATAATCTCATTCCTAGACTTGACAAACTTTCGACTTGATCTATTAAGTATATTTTTCTTGGTTACACTCAATCTTAGAAAGGGTATCGTTGCTTCTCACCTTTTCTTCAACGTTACCTTGTATTCCTAGATATCACATTCTTCAAATCTATTCCTTTCTTTGAGTCTTCTTACTTGATCCCTGAGCTTATATTTGAGGTTTTACCTATTTCTCCTCTTCTTATTCCCATCAAGCAAGATACACTTACAACCCCTTCTGTTGATTCCGTTACACCTCAATGTTCTCCTACTCGCCCACTTCAAGTTTACCATCATTGTGCACCTCTACCTCGAGAACCCGTCTCTCCTCCTACTAATATTGAGGTTCATGTAGATTCTCCTCCGGTACCAACTTCCTTACCAGCTCCAAACCTACCTCTTGCACCTGACCTTCCTATTGACTCCGAAAAGGTGTACGGTCTACTCCTAATCCCTTTCCCCATTATGTTTCATTGAGTTATCACTGTTTGTCATCTTTACATTATGCTTGTCTATCCTCCCTCTCTTATGTGTCTATCCCTACATCTCCAAGTGAAGCTCTATCCCATCCTGGGTGGAGATAAACTATGCTTGATGAAATGAGTGGAGTTTAGAACAGTGCTATCTGGGATCTAGTTCCTGTACTACTGGGAAAATTAGTTGTTGGTTGTTGGTGGATTTATACTAACAAAGGTCTGAATGGAAAAAATGATCACCTTAGGGCTACTAACAATCTTGGTAAACTTTGTTATTTCTTAGGAATTGAAATAGCACAATCAAAGGAGGGCATAGTTATCTCATAGAGGAAATATGCTATAGATATCTTTGAAGAAATAGGTCTTTTGAGTGCCAAATCCACTGACATTTATGGATCCAAATGTCAAGTTCTTACCAAATTAGGGAGAGCCTTTATCAAACCCAGGAAAATACAAAAAATTAGTTGGGAAGTTAAACTACCTCACAGTAACACATTCAGACATCTCTTTTGTAGTTAGTATGGTCAATCAGTTTTTAAATGCACCTTGTGAGGATCATTAGAATGCAATAATTCGTATTTTAAAGTATATTAAAGGAGCTCTTGGTAAAGGCGTAATTTATGAAGACAAAGGTCACACTCAGATTGTTGGACATTCAGATACTGATTGGATGAGTTCTCCTATTGATAGAAGATCCACTTTTAGGTGTTATGTATTCATTGGGAGTAATTTGATATCTTGGAAGAGTAAGAAACAAAGTGTGGTTGCAAGACTAAGTGCCAAAGCTGAATATCGCATCATGGCCTCAGGCACTTGCGAAGTCATCTGGTTAAAACATCTTCTTAAAGATCTTCAATTTGGGGAGACTATGCAATGACAATTGTTTATGATAATGAAGCAGTATTGCATATCAGTTCCAACCTAGTATTTGATGAGAGGACTAAACACATTGAGATAGATTGTCATTTTATGAGAGAAAAGATTCAATCAGGAGACATTACTACTTGGTTTGTTAATTCAAATGATCAATTGGCAAATGTTCTCACTAAGTCCTTGAGAGATCCTAGAATAAGTTACTTGTGTAACAAGTTAAGTGCGTATGATCTATATACTTCAGCTTGAGAAGGAGTGTTAACTATGGAAAGATGATATTTAGTTTCCAATTTAGATAGGCTAATTAGGACAATTAGAGATTCTTTCTTTTTTTTTTTTAATGAATTCTTTCCTTATTAATATAGAAGCTTTGTATATAAGTATGTGTGTATCTTGTATTATTGAGATATAGAGAGAAATTAATTTCTTTTTATCAATGTCCATCATATTCATGTCTCATGCAGTGCTTTGCAAGGAAATGGCATAACTGGTGAGATACCAAAAGAGTTTGGAAATTTGACAAGCTTGGAATTGTTAAATTTGGAAAATAACAGTTTAACTGGTGAAATACCTTCTTCGTTAGGCAATCTCAAGGAGCTTAAGCTTTTGTATGTAATACTATCTAAATAGTTATTTCTTGCATTTTCTCTATCCTATCATTTATGTTCATACAAGTTCATCGTCATAAATTCAGTTCACTTGAATCCATGAGCAGGCTTTTGAGTGACAACAATCTTACAGGGGTTATACCTCCCTCGCTATCCAATCTTCCAAACTTGATTGATATGTAAGTGATTCTATCTTGTATTGCTCATATCCATTTTGGCATGATTTTTATGATTTAACTAAATTAAATTTCCTGACCAGTTAAAGTTATGATTAGTATTTCTAGATCGTTTCCTAATGTTCAACTACCTTTTCTCAGCCTCTGATCTACTAATTGAAGCTTCATTTGCAGTGAGCTTGCTACAAATCATCTTGGTGGTCAAATACCTGATCAATTATTCCAGGTTTCGAAATACAAGTATGAGCATCGTTTAATTTCAATATTGTTAGCTTTTTACTAGTAGTTTTTTTCTTCCCACATCTCCGTCATATGTTCACATGAATTGAGATTAACTTCACTTCTGCTGCTTGTTTCAGTTTTTCTGGGAACCATTTGAATTGTGGGACAAAGTTTATGCATCCTTGTGCATCTGATAATGCTGGTAATAGAACTGGATTTTAAATGATCTTTTCATTATGACATTGGAAAAAAATGTGGATGTGCAGTTCTCATATTTGGGGAAAGCTTAGCTATGACTTTGATGTATTAACAGGTTCTTCTCATAATCCAAGGGTTGAAATTATTGTTGGAATTGTTGGTGGACTTTTGGGTCTCCTCCTTTTTGGAGGCCTGCTTCTTTACTTGTGGAAGGGCAGGCATAAGAAACATAAGCATGAAGTTTTCGTTGATGTTGCAGGTTTGTGTTGCATGTTAGTTTAGTGACAGCTTGCATGCTAATCCTGGGAAACATTTGATTGAATGGATTGTACAATGCCGTATGACTTGTAGTTGATGAAATAAGATCTTGTTTAAACAAATTCTTTTTCTCTGTGTATATAGATGGTTTGAACTTCCTTACGGAACTTCATTTGAGCAAGTACTATCACAATCTTAGCCTTAATTTCATAGTATACGCGTCAGTTTCATAATTAAAATTGTCCATAGAATTGTGGTATTATATTTGTGACTGGATTTGTATTTCATAATAATCCTAGATTTGTTCTTCCTAAAATCTCAAGGGAGCTAGCTTTTGTTGGAAAAAAAGTATAAGGCCTAATTAGGTTAGCCGGCTTTTTTGAGGTTTCTGAGGAATGCAGTTAACCTCTTATCTTCTCATTCAAAGAGTGGCTAGTGATTTTCACATTGTTATGCTTCAGTTTAGTTTATCCATTTATATATGTTTATTTATTAGTGTATTAAATGGACTACTTGCAAGATGGAAAAATATCCCTAATTTAGTATATGGTTAACCCCTCAATAGAGAACAAGAGGAAATTGAAATCATGAATTTTAATATCTAAGGAATTTTATTTTCCTGGAAATTTAGAGTCTGTTACTTGTGGAAAATCTTCTGAAAAACTGAAAAATTTTCTAAGAAAAGAGAAAACAATTAGAAAATGTCTTTACTCATTGAAAAATGAAAGTTGTTTTCTTGGAAAACCTTGTTTTTCCAGTTTTCTAAATTTAAGCTGGCTCAGGAAACTACTTTCATTAGTTTTCAAATTCTCTACTATAGCTTAAAATTGAAGGAATGGGTTTCAACTTTCAAACATGACTTTAAACACATTTATTTTACCTTTTTAGCTTTTCTTAAGGTTTATTGGCCACTTGACTTCTTGGACTATTGACTTAGCTTTTCAACTCCAAAAGCCTAGAAGTTTGGGTATAGTAATTTCTAGGCTTACCATTTTAGGACCTTTTGGGTTGAAAATCCAAATGTGTAAACTAAAAAAGTTAAGACAACCAACACATGCTCAGAAACCTAAAATATCCTATGATATCCCGTCTCACATTGATTTTTTAGTGTGTTGTCATGTAATATATAATACTTTTGAGAGTTATTTTTGGACAACTTAGGTTTAAATATTGTGAGCCAGTGGTTCAAACTTAATAAGTTAGTAGGGCCAATAACTCTTGAGTCATTACAAATGGTATCAGAGTAAATGATCCTCAAATTTGCTTTGTTTTTGTTCTGTCTAGATACGATTATGGATCTTTAACTTGTTGAGAATGTCAAGTATTTAAGTGAGAGAAATTATATTATTCTGTCCTACATTAGTTTTTGAGTATGACATCATATAATAGACAAGACCTTTGAGAGTTACTACTAAACAACAGTTTAAGTATTTTGAGCTAATAGTTTAGGCTTAACAAATTATTAACATCAGTAGCTCTCGGGTTGTTACATTTCTTGATGTCTGGGTTTTAGGGTCAAAAATTTTTAAACGTATGCCCAAAAAGTTAGGCAACCAAGCTGACCTTTGAGCAAGATTTGATTGTAGTATGGGGTTTGGTGTACACTAAACCCATAAACTCGAGTATTTCAATATTGCTTGAATGTATATCTGAAACTTTCTTTTGATTTTTCTTTTATTTATTTACATATAATTTTTTATTTACTTAAAAAATATAAGATATGTGTTTCTATATATTTCAACTGTTTATAGAAAAAAATATAATTAAGTATTTATTTATTTTTTTGAAAGTTTTTAACTTATTAATTGGATTTATTTTGCTAAGTTACCAATCGCAATCGTCAATCACAATTCTATCAGCGTATTGATTGGGTTGAACAACAAAATATTGCCTATCTTTTGAATATGGCAATTTTTGGGAGCTAGATGGCATTACTATAGTATTTTCTCTAATGACATGATATGTTGGTGAGATGAATTTTCAATCATGATCTTATATGCAAACATCTATCAACTTTTATAGCAGAGAAAATAATCTTCTATCTTATGCAATAACCATGTCTGCATTTTCCATTGGAAAACAAATTGAAGAATAAAGATGAAAGGTGAAAATGAGAAGTAGAAATTTGTTTAAGAAACTTCTTTGCTTTTTCAAGATGGAAGTATCTTTAGGAGGTAGCATTTTATGGTGGATTTTATTTTTATAAATCTTTACTTGATTAGCTATTATAATATATATTTTGCTTTAATTCTAAGAGAATTATACTAATGTTTTGATAATTTTGGAAAAGCTTTTATGGCATCGTGTGATTCCTAATTAAATTTAGCGGGGATTCTTGGCATTTTTTCTTCTTTTCGTCTTTTCATGTTCTTCTTTCCCCATAAATTTCTATTATTGCTTACGTCATTAGGTATGGTCTTAATAGAATGTCCAAATCTCATATTTCATAATATTGAACTCTTGAGACTCCCAAGTTGTGTATTCTACTACCTATTTAGTGTCATATTACCAACCAAAGTCAAAACTCGAAAACCAATTGTACTGTTGTTTTGCTTTGATTTTTTGGTTTATTAATTTGATGAGAATGTTGTCTACACTTGATCTGCATTGTTTGATATTTAAGGCAAGAACCCTCTATGGAAAAAAGGAAAGGGGAAAACTTGAAGTTATAAGAAAGAGATGTGAGATAGCTTGAGGGAAATGCAAGCTCAATCATTATTATAGATGATTCAAAGTCAGTTAGGGTTGAGAGGTGGCCAAAACACTAGAGGAATGAAAACTCTGTAATGATTTAGTGATTAAGCATGATGAATAAAAATTAATAACAAAATATAGTTGAAGATGCTCAATCAAAGAAACTGTTCTCAAATATGGTTGCTTCAAAGATGACCATACTGATGATACCCACTCTAGTAATAGAAATGATAATAATGCTAAATTGAAGGATGCTTCTCTATTAGTAGATATTTAAACCATGGACAGTTTGTATTTGTTAATAAATGGTAAAGAATTAGAGTTATATGTGAGATAGAAAGGAGCTAAAAGGTTTATGTGATTTGGCACAACCAGCTTACATTCATGAGAGATAACGACTATAACAGTACTTCAACTTAATAAATACATATGATATAGGTGTACTTATGGACACCTAGAAATAGGGATATGATAGACTTTGTTATTTCTATTTGTAGTTATCCTAATGTCTTACTCCTAGAAATAAGATTAAAATACATTTATCTCTATCTTGTCTCTAACAATATTCTTCTTCAAATTTTAGGGAGCTAACTAATATATTCTCATTGTCTTTTTTGTTGTCACATTTACAAATCGGATAAATGATGTTGACCTTAGTAAAATTATGGGGACCTCTGTGAATTTTCAGAAATAACTTTGACTCCACTTTGCTGCCCTATTGGATTTAGTTTTCTTATAATTGATGTGATACAACATATTGGAATCACTTGATGTCTTTCAAAAAACCCAAACAACCTCTTTCAAGGAGAAAAAAACTTAATAATAATTAAATCATTAAACGTCATGCTTCTTTGATTAAAAACCTTGTTAAGGTGATGCTAATTAACTAATTTTATCTTCAAAGACCTAGTTTATATATTTTGAAAGATTTTGACTCATTTTAGTACTTCTTGTCACATAAATTGATGGTTGCCCAAGGAGAATCTTTCTGAACAGATAATTGATTGGGGTAGTTTCACCAAACCTTAGGGAAGGTTAGCATAATATGCCTTGCAAAATTTAATGATTTATTTTTATGGGTTTCCTTGGGGGAGAACGGAGCATGCGGGGATGGAATCACCTGATGTTCTCCACCATTGTTTGGGTCATCCAATTCTTACCAAGTTACAGAAGATGGTTCCTCATCACTCTCGTTTACAGTCCTTAAAATGTGAGTCATGTCAACTTAGAAAGGATTTTCAAGCATCCTTTTCAAGTGAGGTCAATAGCCAAGCAGGGTCTCCTTTTTCTATTATTCATTCTAATGTCTAGTGTCCTAGTCGTGTTAGTTTTATATTAGGGTATAGATATTTTGTTACTTTTATTGATGATTTTTTAAGGTGTACTTGGATATTTTTAATGAAAGATCACTCATAGTTTACCATTTTTCAAAATTGTTGCAATGAAATTCAAACTCAATTTGGATACTCTATTCTCATTTTACAAAGTTATAATGCAAAAGAATATTTTTCTGCATCTTTTAATTCTTTTATGACATCTCATGGCATGATTCATCAGTCTAGTTGTCCTTATATACCTTAACAAAATGGTGTAGTTGAAAAAAAATATCGTCATATTATTGAAACAGCTTATACATGCTAATGCACTTTTTAGATTTTGGAGTGACGCGGTTCTTATTGCTGGTTATTTAACAAATCGAATGCTATCTTCTATTTTAAATAATCAGATTCCCCATTCTTTTTTATTTCTTAAAGAGCCCCTTTATACTATTCCTCCTCGTGTTTTTGACTCTACTTGTTTTGTACTTGAATCTTTCTTCGGGTCTTGATAAACTGTCTACCCGAGCTATAAAATATGTTTTCCTTGGCTATTCTCAACTCCAGAAAGGATATTGACATTATTCTCCTTCCACACATCATTTTTACATATTTGCAGATGTCACCTCCTTTGAAGATACACCATACTTCACTTTGCTAGTTGAGTTGGACTTCATCTCTCAGATCTTACCGACCCCTTACCTTGATCCACCTCTTTTTGTTGTTCCAGTTTCTCAAGAGCCAATCTCTCCTTCCTAGCCAAAGCATCCCTCTTAGCGTCACTTTATCACCTATTAGAGTCGACCATGACTTGAGCTTCCAAAGGCTATACTCACTCCAGATTATGGTGATTCATATGATTCATCTCCTACTCCAACGTCTTCACCTACTCATGATCTACTTGAACTTTCCGCTGATTTGCTCACCACTCTTTGTAAAAGTACATGTGCTACTCGTAATCCTCATCCCATTTATAATTTTCTAAGCTATCATTGCTTGTCTTCATCCTATTATGCCTTTGTATCTGCTTTATCTTCTATTTCTATTCATAAAATTGTCTAGGAAGCACTTTCCCATCCAGAATGGTGACAAGCTATGATTGATGAGATGACAGCCTTGGATTCCAATCGTACATGGACCCGAGTTTCTTTCTCTCTTGGGAAATCTATAGTTGGTTGTCGATGGGTCTTTATTATAAAGGTTGTTCCTGATGGGCAAGTAGACTGCTTGAAAGCTTGTCTTGTAGCTAAAGGCTATACTCAGATTTTCAATCTTGGTTATAGTGATACTTTTTTCTCCGTTTGCTAAAGTGATGTATGTTTGTCTTTTCCTTTTCATGGCTGCAATTAAGCAATGGCCCCTATATTAGTTGGATATTAAGAATGCCTTTTGTAACGACCCGAGTACTACTGGCCCTAGCAACTTGTTGAGCCTGAACCAGTGGCCCAAAATGCTTAAGTCTAAGTTGTTCAGTAGTAGTTTTTAGTTTCTTATTTACTATATTAGACTTCTCTTAAAAACCGATGTGGGACGGGATGTCACAATCTTTCCCACTTAAACACTTGACATGCTCGTCAAGTCAAAAATCCATATTCGTATCCAAACATAATAGGTCCGAAGATCGTTTTGCTCTGATACCATTTTTAACGACCCAAGTGCTACTGGCCCTAGCAACTTGTTGAGCCTGAACCACTGGCCCAAAATGCTTAAGCCCAAGTTGTTCAGTAGTAGTCTCTAGTCTCTTATATACCATATCAGATTTCTCTCAGAAACCGATGTGGGACAGGATGTCACAATTTCCCCCACTTAAACACTTGACATCCTCGTCAAGTTAGAAATTCGTCTTCATATCCAAACAAAACAGGTTCGAAGATCGTTTTGCTCTGATATCATTTGGAATGACCCGAGAATTACTGATCTTAGCAATTTATTAAGTCTGAACCACTGGCCCAAAATGCTTAAGCCCAAGTTGTTCAGTAGTAGTCTCTAGTCTCTTATATGCTATATCAAACTTCTCTCAGAAACCGATGTGGGAGGGATGTCACACCTTTCTTCATGGTGACTTGGAAGAAGAAGTTTAAATGGAGCAACACCTGGGTTTGTTGCTCAGGGGGAGTCGAGTCTTAAATGTAGATTGCATAAGTCCCTTCATAGCCTTAAACAATCTCCTTGGGCATGGTTTGGAAGATTTAGTTAGGTCATTTAGCAATTCAATATGATCTATAGTGAGGTAGATCATTCTGCGTTCTATAAATATTCAGTCTCTAATCAGTGCATTTATCTTGTGGTCTATGTAGATAATATTGTTATTACAAGTAATGATCAAGAAGGCATTAAAAATCTCAAACAACACTTGTCTCTCCACTTCCAAACTAAGGGTTTGGGCAAATTATGATATTTTCTTGGGATCGAAGTAGCTCAATAAAAATTGGTGTTTCTATCTCTTAAAGAAAGTATGCTCTCGACATTTTAGAAGAGACCAGGATGCTTGATTGTAAACCAATTGATACTCCTAAGGATCCAAATGTTAAACTTCTACTAGATCAAGGGAACCTTATTTAGACCTAGGCAGATATTGGAGATTGGTGAAAAAATTAAATTATCTCACTATAACAAGACTAAACATATCCTTTGCTGTTAGTGTTGTGAGTCAGTTCCTTAACTCTCTTTGTAATAGTCATTGGGATGCAGTAATTCGAATCTTGAGGTATATAAAAAGTACTCCTAGAAAGGGGTTGATTTATGAAAATAAGTGTCATACAGACATTATGGCTTATACAGATGCAAATTGGGCAGGATCTCCTAGTAATAAAAGATCAACTTCTGGATATTGTTCTTGTTGGGAGCAATCTTATCTTGTGGAAGAGCAAAATGTAAAATGTTGTTGCAAGTTCTAGCGTAGAAGTAGAATATCATGCTATGCCTCTTGTTCTTGCGAACATATATGGTTAAAATAGCTACTTCAAAAGTTGAAGTTTTGTGAGATTGACTCGATGAAACTTATCTGTGATAATCAAGTAGCATAATATATTGCTTCCAATCCAGTCTTTTGTGAGTGGACCAAGCATATAAAAAATTGATTGCCATTTTATCTGTGAAAAACTTATTTCTAGAGAAATCATGACCTCATATTTGAACTTTATATCCAAGCTTCAAGGATGATATATAAATGTAACAAGCTGGACACATATGACATATATGCACCAACTTGAGGGGCAATGTTAAGATTCTGTGTATATGTATAAGAGATTGTGTAGATTATGTGATATTAGGAGATCATATAGGATTTTAGGGCATTTGGTTAGAAGATTTGATTTCTTTCCTTTTATGGATGTAAGAATTGTGTGTTTTTGTGTGTGTGTGTGTGTGTGTGTGTGTGTCTTGAGGATTGAATCCTTGTGTAAAATCAAATACAATCATTCTTCCAACAGTAGCCTTTTTATTCAAATTTTCTGAAGGTTCTTTCGATCTTGATTGCTTAGGTGAATTTGACCAAAGAATTGCATTTGGCCAATTGAAAAGATTTTCTTGGAGGGAATTGCAGATAGCAACAGATTACTTCAGTGAGGAAAATGTCCTTGGACGGGGGGGGTTTGGAAAGGTGTACAAGGGAGTGCTGGCAGATAATACCAAAGTTGCTGTTAAACGATTAACTGATTATGAGAGTCCAGGTGGAGATGCAGCATTCCAGCGTGAAGTCGAGATGATAAGTGTGGCTGTACACAGGAATTTACTACACCTGATTGGGTTCTGTATGACACCAACAGAGCGGCTTTTAGTGTATCCCTTCATGCAGAACTTAAGTGTTGCCTATCGCCTGCGAGGTACTAGTTCTTCAATATTTTTATATGTATTAGAGATTTAATTGCTCTCATTTTAGGGTGTACGTGTGTGTATACATGCATGGCTGGCCATATAGTAAGTTCATTTAAGCCAAGGAAGTACAAACAAAGTGAATTGCCCTGTTCAAGATAAGAGAGTAAACACCTCTCTTTTCTTATCATGCACAGTTTGCTGGTCTAATGCCATAGGATGCAGAAACACATCCAAATTTTTTGCGGTTGCTCTGAATATTCTTAATATGGAGGACTGGATTTGTGTTTGGACGAGAACAAGGATGCTTCTGCAGTTAGAAAATCTAAAAACTGCTTGTTGTATGGCAACATTATTTGTGAAATATTTTCTTGATTATTCAGGAGCTTTGTGACTAATTTGTTTAACAATCCTGAAAGATGTGGAAGATATCTCATATGGTTGAGAAATTCTTTTGAGCCCTTTACATGAAGAAGGGAGGTGCTCAACGATATTTTTACTGATGGCTTTAACGTAAAAACTGCCAAAATATGTATCATGCTACTGCATTTGTCAGTTAAAATAATTTAGAAGATAGAAGGGAAAGAAAGACAAGTTCCTTTGACAAAATAATTTTTCATTTGTCTGATGTAAACTATGTAAATGCACTCATCTATGAGCGTTAGGTACCCAGCATAGTCTGAGCTTTGAGGTTTGCATGTGCATGTTCTAGATTTCTTTCATTTTAGACATTACACTGGCAGTACAGAATTGTATCATTGTTCCATATAAGGCTCCTTTTACTCATCTACTACAGAATCATGTTTACAATCTATTGTACAGAGTTTTTAATGTGTAGAGTGAAGTTCGTGTGCATGGCTTGATAGTGAAGGTTATTTTCTTTTCATCAGGGATGCAAATTAAATGGTACATAATAGCAGGTATAAATTATTTTCAGAATTCTGCTTTCACGTAGATGGCAAGTAGATCAAAAATTATCACATGGAGTAGTATGGGTTGGTTCTGGTTGGGGTGTGAAAGTCTGACGTCTGAGAATGCTGTGATATGGCAAAATTGATTGACTTATATTTTATGGGCTAAGGTGGGGTTTCTAGGGTGCTACAGAGTATTTTATGCATACTATAGAGTTACATGTAATTATTCAGTAGATTTAACTACTCAAGAACTTTGTTGGGTGACTGTCTAACAAGAATTGCATGAAATGTATCTACTCGATTCTTATATTGAATGCAAATGTCTTCATATGCCTCAAGATGGCAGTAGGTTATCTGTAGGATGATACAGATTCTTGACTTTTGTGTTTGGGATGATAAGCCTCTAAAGTACTACCACCTTGAAGGAATTTACCTTGATCGACAATAGTTGGTTATAAGTTCCTCATTGATTTTCAGTAGTTTAGATCAGGTTTCCAAGTGGTTGTGCTTCATTAAGCATGGGGACATTGTGACAAAAAATTTCAGATAATGGGAGCCTTCTCAACTAAGTTCTTGTTTTTCTCTTTCCTTGAAGGACATTAAATTGAAAGACAACTCTGCGTGTTGCTATACAGCAGTAAATCTCAACTGAATCAATTTCCATGCTCACCAAACAGACTTCTTGTGTTAGGCCACTTAATTATGCTTGTATATGACTTCTTCTTAAACATGGGTGGTTTGACATCATCTCAGAAGAATCTTTGTGGAAGTTGGAGAATTCAACCCTAAGTATTAGAAAAGTTATAAATGGACCTTGCAAGAAATCACTTATTGAATATATGGTTGTAGACATGTTCATATGCTATTGCTCAATGTGTTGAGATAAGAAAAAGGACTCCATGCAATTTATCATCTGATCATCTGACATTAGGCAGAATTAGTTACAGTTAATGTCCTTAAAATTGAAAGAGGAAAATGATATAGGGGAAATAATACTAAATAGCGCCGACACTTTTTCCTTCCATTGGCATAGTCTTCATCCAGATTTGATGGGATGAAACTAATAGGCGTGCTTGGACACAAAGTTGAGAGTGTATAACCACAATGCTGACAATAATATGAATGAAGTGGAATTTTATGTCATCACAACAAAGCTTTTCTCTATATGTTGAACTAAGATTTTGTTCGCTCCTTGGAAAAAAAGTTGAAACATTATCTTAATTATACGGTCAGGTCCCACCTAGTAGAAAATTCTCTTTGAACTTGGGGAATTATGTGGTTTACTGGATAGTTTTTATTTTTAGTGGACTTTATGTACTTACCTTTTGTTAGTTCTGAATCCTGAATACAGAGCTTAAGCCTGGGGAGCCTGTTTTGGATTGGCCTACTAGAAAGTGTGTAGCTTTAGGCACAGCTCGTGGGCTAGAGTATCTTCATAAATATTGTAACCCAAAAATTATTCATCGGGATGTTAAGGCTGCAAATGTGTTGCTGGATGAAGATTTCGAAGCAGTAGTTGGTGACTTTGGCCTGGCAAAATTAGTGGATGCAAGAAGAACTAATGTAACAACACAAGTTCGTGGAACAATGGGTCACATAGCACCTGAATACTTGTCTACTGGGAAGTCATCAGAAAAGACAGATGTTTTTGGTTATGGGATCATGCTGCTTGAAGTTGTGACTGGTCTACGTGCAATAGACTTTTCACACCTGAATGAAGATGATGATGATGGTGTTTTATTGCTTGACCGTGTAAGACAACCCTTTATGCTAATGCCAATATTTGTCTTTTCCTTGGAGGGTATAAAAATGATATGATTTTGGATGTCAAGTAGTAGTAAAGCCAAAGGATGTGGACACAAAACTAATGAAAAAAGCCACCATGCCATTATTGAAACTCCATGACATGGATGCTGTGATAAATAAATATTGGCCTAAGTATATGTGAAAATGAACAGAATTTTTACCATTCAATTACCTAGTATCATTTTATTTTATAACTATGAAAATAATAAGAAATAATTCTTTTCTATGACTGTGTGTTGGAAAATAAGTGGTACTTTAAAACTGTAGTTTTTAATTGCAAAAGTTTTTTTGGTATTTAAAAGCACTTGGAAGTTGTATTACTTAAGGTTTTCAAATGTCAAATACCCAAAGGATTGACTTTATTCTTTTGCCTTCATTTTGTTTCATGATCCTATGCTTGTCCTAACCATTCTTTGTATATATATCCATGTACTTGAAACTTTTTCCAAGTTATATCTGGTTTCAAAAAATTGAGAAAATTTTATATTACAGCATGTTAAGATGCATGGGCCAATGTTTCAGTGCTTCAATCTGTTTCAGCATTTCACCAATATTAAATGTGGACATAGAGAAAGTAGTTGAGATGGTGGTGCATTTAGTTATATAATTATTTATTTACTTCCTCTTCTGCTCTTTTTTCTGTCTTATCAGTGATGTTGGTCAATCCATGTTAAACACAAACACAAAGAAAAAATGTTAGGAGGTTTGCTTTGCTTCCCAGTGGCGTGATATGACTTCATATTATTTATTACAATCTGCAGGGTGCATTACTATGATTTTTTTTTTTTTAATGGACATCTCTTATGGTTATCTGTATAAAAAATGCATATCCAATTGCACCTCTAATGCTATTAGAAATCAGGTGGCTGCTTCCTTTTCTACCATGCTTCAACATTTATGATGAACTTTGACAAATACTGAACTACTTTTCCTTGTCTTGAAAGATTCCTTGAAATGAAATATTTTTCACTTTGTTTTCTGATTGTTTATACTGTGTTTATGTTTTCTGTTAACACTTGGATATGTTCATACTTTGAAACATAACAAGATGCCTCGAGCTTCACGGTTAGTGTTTTTCTTTTTTTTCTCTTTTTTTTTTTTACTGTAAATTTTATTTAACACTAGAGAGGTTGTTAGCTGATATTTTGGAAATTTTGAACTTGGAATATTTGGATTTCCTTTTAAAGCTTGAGTGCTTTAATTTGCATCTTCGAGTATGTCTAGTTACTTTGATTGTATGGTGTCTGTCATGTACTGTGTACTTGTCTGCATATTTATTTGTTTAGTTTTTTCTTAAAGGTCAAGAAACTGCAAAAGGAAAAAAGACTGGATGCTATTGTGGACCGCAATCTAAATAGTAACTATAACATTCAAGAAGTGGAGATGATGATTCAGATTGCATTACTTTGCACCCAAGTATCACCAGAAGACCGACCTGCAATGTCAGACGTGATTAAGATGCTGGAGGGAGAGGGACTGGCTGAGAGATGGGAAGAATGGCAGCACATAGAAGTTAACCGGATGCAAGAGTATGAGAGGTTACAGAGAAGACTGGACTGGGCAGAGGATTCAACATGTAATCAGGATGCTATCGAGTTGTCTAATGGATGATGACATGAAAGAAAAAGCAGTAAGAGTACTTAATTTTCTCTCTACATAACAAGCTTCTCATAGATTTTTGTCACAAAATTCTGTGCTGCTTCAATTGTTTTTTCTTTTCTGCTGTTCTTCTCTTCTCTTTTCTTTTTGTATCCCTCTCTGTCTTTCATTTTAATCTCTATTCTTTCCCACTCTGGTGTGCATTAGTTATCCCAGTCTTGTCCCTCCCTGTGGGCATCTACTTCACCATATATTCTTTTGTAGCCTTACCTGGTATTGATCTTTAAATTGTTTGACAAATGTAATTTATTATGTCACTTTCATATTTACAGTAATTTGGGTTGAGTGAATTTTGTTCCAAATTGGAAAATATGGTATTTGAGCTGTCTACTTATTGTTTTATTTCAATTTTACCTTGGCTCAGTATACATGACATAAATACAGTGCAGAAGTTGCCTTAATAATTCATAATTCAATTGTAGAACTTTGATTATATAACCCTACATGATTGACAGATGTATTATATTGTCCAGCAAATGGGATTATACTTTTAACTATCAGTTCATCAATTTGTGTCTCTTGCCTTTGTCCCTAACCAGTGATGAAAAATTGGGTAACCTTTTCCAGTGAAAGTAAAATCATTTTAATCTCAAAGTGAAGTTTATTGTTAAAGTTGAGTGTGAACATAAACCCAGACCACAGGCACAAAAATGACTAACCTGAAACAACATGAGCTAATAACTGACGTCCATGCGTTGGACTGCATGGCTCTGACCTTCCCATGTTGGGTTTTGGCAATGGCTGCAGATTGTATTTTAGTGGCAGTCAGGAGGTCCTGATGAAAATACAATTGTATATTCTTCCTTTACTATCTTGGGAAAATATAAATAACTGTCTTGAAATGATTATCTACATTCTATAGACCTCTGATGGTTTTTACAAGTGATCATATATATGGCCACATGTTTAATAGGGGGAGCCACGTGAGAAAGTATAGCAGTCAGATATCAAAATGGAACAGAGGATCCATATTGAGATACTTACATATCCCTCTCAGAAGAAAATAAGGCTTGCTTGTGTTCAAAATTGGATTTCGCAATTTGTTTCATCTTCTGGTACAAGTAGAGTGAAGGAAACCCAAAAGGTATATCCATGGATATAGGCCTGTTCGCGGGCCTTGAACCGGCCTGGACCGGAACCGAACCGCTGGTTCTGGTCCCGGAAAAATATGAACCGGGACTGGAACCTTGAAGGTCGGTCCGGTTCTGGTTATGGTTCATGCCGGTTCCGGCCGGTTCACGGTTCCAATTCGTCACGGTTTCGGTTCCGGTTCCGGTTCAGGCCGGTTCACAGTTCTGGGCCGGGTTGGTTCACGGTTCCGGTTTCGGTTCGTTCCCGGTTCATTAACGGTTCGTTTCCCGGTTCGGTTCCCAGTTCATTCACAGTTCCGGGCTGGGCTGGTTCACGGTTCCGATTTCGGTTCATTCCCGGTTCATTAATGGTTCGTTCACGGTTCGGTTCGATTTCGGTTCATCCACGGTTCAATTCGGTTCTAATTTGATTTTACCAAAAAAATTATTTATTAACTTGTAAATCCTTTGAAATTTTTTAAATAATATATTTTCTAATTTATTTAAACTATAACATACATACAATGTATTTCATTTTAACTTTAAATGAAAAAATAAAAAAATTTTAAATAATAAAAATTAAACTTTTAAAATACTAAATATTTCATAGTTCCGGTTCACGGTTCATGGTTCACGGTTCGTACACAGTTCTGGTTCACGGTTCATACACGGTTCATGTTCCACGGTTCACTCATGGTTCTAGTTCATAGTTTACGGTTCATGGTTCATTCTTAGTTCCGGTTCCGGTTCAGATTCAAAAAAATGTGAACCTTAACTGGGCCGCGAATCTTCACGGTTCATAACCGGACTGGACCGATATTGCCGGTCTGGTCCGGTTTTTTCCCGGTCCGAGCCGAGCCAGTTCACGGTTCAAACCTGAACCATGAACAAGGCTACATGGATATCTTCTTTCCTACTCCTGCATGGATTATTCCCCTCCTAGTAACTCTTTTATTCATCCTCTCTCTACGACCTCTAAAGACAAAGAAGAAGCTAGTAGAAGCCAGACTTCCACCATCCCCTCCAAGACTTACCATCATAGGCAACTTGCAACAGCTAGGAAAGCTACCTCACCATTCCTTATATCAACTCTCCCAGAAATTTGGACCCATCATGCTTCTACAGCTAGGCAATGTCCCAGCCCTCATCATTTCCTCCCCCATAATGGCTAAAGAAGTCCTCAGAACCCGTGACCTCAATTTCTGTACCCGGCCTGAGTCACCTGGTCCAAAATGACTTTCTTACAATTTCCTGGACGTGGCCTTTTCTCCCAATAATGATCACTGGTGCACAAGGCACAAGTCATTTCTTACTGCGGTTCTTGGCCCAAAGAGAATACAGTTGTTTAGTCATGCTAGGGAATTTGAAATTAGTCACACGATCAAGTCTCTGTCCCAAGCCTCGTCCTTCCCGGTTAATCTTGAGGAGAAGGTATTTGCTCTGGTGGATGGAATTGTCTGTATGGTAGCTTTTGGTCGGAACTACCAGGGAAATCATTTCAGGGTCAGAAGTTTAAGGAGGTCATTTTTGAAATCATGAAGATGATGGACAACTTTTATGCTGAGAACTTCTTTCCCCATCTAGGGTGGGTTGTGGATATCTTAACAGGGGTGCGGAAAAGGCTAAAGCAATGTTTTCATAACTTGGGTGACTTTTTTGAGAGGGTACTTGAGGAGGAGCATCTTGATCCTGCAAGGCTGAAATCCGACAGGGAAGAGGACTTGGTTGACAGTTTGATTGCCTTGTTGAATGACCAAGCTACTGACAGCCTTTGTCCTTCCAAGGAGCATATAAAGGCAATTCTCCTGGTAAGACTCCTTTGGTTGTTTGAGATTGTCATTTTTTGCGCTTTTTCTTTTAGTCATCTGTAGTCTTACTTTCATGCTTCAGGTAATAATTTCATTTCTCTATCTTCGTTTTACTTTTGTTGAAGTTGATATTATGGTTGCCTTTCTTTATAATTTCTATAATTTTGTAGAATAAATTAGCCAAATCAGGAATGAAATATAAAAATGATATACTGATTTGCAGGAGGTACATATCTGCTCTAATGCTGCCACTGGCAGACTAGCTGGGTTCTTATTTCTTACTGATTTCTAACCTGAAGACCTATTAACTAGTAACCCCGGGAGTCCAAGCTGGCTTCTATGTCTCCCCTAAGATATTCCTCTACCTATGACTTTAGCTCACACCATATCCTAAAAAAGAGAGAGTATCAAGTAGGTCCTATCGCATTACTCATACTTCATAATTAATTAGAGGCTGCTAGTTATTACTATGTCACAATATGTACTGGTGCCATCTTAATAAGTGTTATTTATAGTGTTGAATTTTAGTGTCAATATAATAGAATGACGAAACTTGTACAGAATTTTTCGTTGTATTGATTTATGATCAACAATTCTAGACTCAGTATTTATACAAAATAACTTCCCTAAAAATGCGTTCGTCCTCTTCACTGAAGCTGGGTTGATTCCACAATTAGTATTGGACCTTTTATGATGTAAACTGAATAATATCATATAAATTTGACATCTCTTTGATATTAAAGAAGTAGATAGTGGCAATATATTTTGTGCAGCAAAATTTTCTTCAAAAGGCTGACAAAAGCCATGTCCCTTAATCTGCATTGAAGTAAAATCTTATCCACTTTTTGCGTAATTTATGTTTAAGAAATGGAAAATAAGAAAAGAAATAAAATCGTTGACAATTTTGTGTATACTCTTTTATATTTCCTTGTTTTATATTCTTCAAGACAACTAATTTGCATCATCTTCAGAATGTATTTATTGGAGGCATGGACACTCCTGTGGTGGCGATTGTCTGGGCAATGTCTGAACTTGTCAAGAATCCCTTAGTCATGCAAAAGCTACAAGCTGAAATCAGAAATTGCTTTTTGAGAAAAGCTGCCCTGGATGTAGATGATCTCACAAAGCTGACATACCTAAAGATGGTGGTAAAGGAAACCCTCAGAATGTATCCACCGGTACCATTGCTTATCCCCCATGAGGCAATACACAGATGTAAAATTGGTGGAAGCAATAGCTATGATGTCCTGCCAAAAGCCAGAGTCTTGATCAATGCATGGGCAATGGGAAGACACTCAAGCATATGGACGAACCCTCATGAGTTCTATCCTGAGGGGTTTGAAGGGAACAACATTGATTTTAGAGGGCAACATTTTGAACTTTTGCCCTTTGGGCTGGCCGAATAATCTGCCCTGCCTCAGGCTTGGCAAGTTCGACCATGGGGCTAGCCCTGGCCAATCTTTTGAATCATTTTGACTGGGAACTGCCTGGTGGTATGAAGAGGGAAGATATTGACATGGAGGAGGGTGGCGTTACTATGCACGGAAAGACAGCTCTCTATCTTGTGCCATAAAGTATAGGCGACCCAATAGTGGGGGCATTAGTTGCATAATCAGACTACCTGGTTTGTATTTCTCATTTTCAGCTTTTTGGGTTTTTTTTTTCTGGTTTCTTTTTTGGTGTCATAAGATAGTTCTGTGTGTGTGTGTGTGTGTGTGTGTGTGTGTGTGTGTTCGTGTTCGTGCAATCAATAGGTAGTTTTCTTGTTTAACGGAATTAACGGTGGTGTAACTTTTAGTTGTGATGTAATCTTCCCCTCTTCACAAAATGTTTGACCTTTTATATCAACCCAAATCCAGCTAAAAGGGGGAGATTATGGCTTAGAGTTTTTCTTTCTTAGTATACAGTCTACTCTAATTTTTGACACCTAAATAGAGTCCAAGACATCCTACTATCCTACTTATCTCTCATCAGAGCACTTCGTATAGGGTCCTATTAGAGATGGTAGTGGGGCGGGTGATCACGACCTAAACTCAACTAAAAAATTACATCTTGACCTGGGTCAACTAAAAAGTTATATCCTGACTTGGTACAGACTTGTGCATGTCTTCAATTGAATTCTTATATTCAACTTTATTAATATTTATTTATCCAGATTTAAATTTATGGATCTAATTTTATAATCTTTTATAAATAATTTTTATAATTTAAAATTTATAAAAACTCAAAATAAGAAAATAATCTTAAAAAATGTATTTTTAGATGTAAGAAAATTTAACATAATTTACTAGTCTTACAAATATCAAATATAAAAGTTATAATATTAAAAAAAATTAAAATTATCATAAATATTTACATGTATATTATTAATATGTGGGTCTAGAATGGGATGAGTATTATAATATTTAAACGTGAACTCAAACTCACTTAAATGTCTATTTAATTATCTAAATTTAAGTTTAAATTTATTTAATAATATTCAAACTTTGACCCATTCAAATAATTTACCAAGTGCCAATTGAATTCAGATACCAATTGTTATAGGTAAGTATTCTCTCTTAAAAAATATACTTATTAGGGTGTAAAGTGCTATCACTTATAATTTGAAATTTTTCTTAGTCTGATATAAAATTCGTGATAAGTGATTAGTTATATCATGAAGTAAAAAATAAAAGAACTTCATCCCGATTAGTTATATCATGAAGTAAAAAATAAAAGAACTTCATCCGACATTGGGAAATAAAAATGATGAGGAATATCAAAGAAATCCCTCAAACATGATCATAAAGTTTTTTGGAACAGAGAAGATGATTGAAATTGTGTCGGAACCTTTCAAATCATTTTAGTATTAGAAAACTTTCACCCCATTCCAAACCACACCTCTTGCTGCCGGAGTAATTCTATCTATCCGCACCATCGGCCACATCAGTGTTCTTTGGAAAATGACAATTCTATCGTTTGTTTTGGGAGACCTCGAGTCAGTGACGTCTTCCTTGGCCCCCAGCTCCCATGCACGGACAGGTACATGGCCGCACATGTTTCGGATTTGTTGGCATACGTTTTTCGGGACATTGCACGGGCATGTATACGTGGTGGGTGACACCTCCCTTGAAAGCCGCAAGAGCAGACAAAGATATTTTGGGTTTGGCCTCTTGCTGCGTCTTGGAAAGTTGCATGGAAAGGGCCGGTGGTCAGTCGCAAAGTCACCGCCTGCGGGGCGATCGCCGCTTCATGTTTTCCATGAGTTGCCAGCGTAAGGATTGGACGGCAACGTTTGTCATCACATTTTACAATCATTCTTGTTTAGGATCAGCATCGTCTTAGTTTTTGACAGCATCCGTAGGATCATCATTATAAAATCATAATGTGTTTGTCGTCTGGTGTATTCTATTTCTACGCTGCTGGGTGAATCTTCCAAATTGGCCATGTTAAAGCTGCAGCAGAGAATGGGACTCCTCGACTTCCTATTTGTACTACATTAAAGGAAGCTTCCTTCACCAACCCAGGTGAATAGAGGATTAGGCATCCCTTCGTTGCAACTGCACGTCTTCTTTCTTATTTTAGTTAATTCTAATAATTTATTTCATAAAAAATGATTTAAAATATTTAAATTCATTTTTTTAAGCAATATATATACCCTCCATATCATCACATAGACACGTAAGAATGTAGGAATACACGTATTGGTTCATTTAAGAAAAACATGTAAAGTGTCTATACACAGGATTCAAGGAATACACGTATTGGTTCATTTGAAGATGATTTGTAGTTCTAAATCATTTATATCTTCATTATTTAACTAAAAAAAGAAGAGAATATATGTAAAATATGAAAATAGAGTAAGTCTATTAATCGGTTGAATTTTAATCTAAATGTGATCTAAATTTAATCGAAAAGTAAAATTCGAACAAATTAAATTTTGATCTAAATCTAATATTGATCTAAATTTGATCTAAATTCAATCGAAGATTAAGATTTGAATCTAATTAAAATATTCGATAAATTAGGTCCGATAATAAATAAGTTGATTGGATATGGGATTAAAGATTTTGATCTATTAAAGATTCAAATTTAAATTTTAATAATATTTTTTAATTAAATTAATAATATTATATATATGGCATTAAAAAATATAAAATTATAGGAATTAAATTGAGAAAATCAGAAATTTAAAAAATAATATAATTGATGAAATAGAGTTGATGGAGTAAAATGCAAAAGATGATTATTTTTCTGTCGAATCGAATTTCTTGTTGGATTTCAAATATTCATCAAATTCGGATATGATTTAACAAATATAAATCCTATAAAATTCAGAATTAAATTTGGATATAGTACTGATTAATCCAATTCGAATCATTACAAGAAAAAGGTAAATTTCTGACAGAAAATTACTGATGAATGTGAAAACCATCGCTTGTTAGATAGAATATTCATCGAAAATATTTTTGGATGACAACTCTGATTGGAAAGGTCAAAAATCAGACGGAAAAAATATTTTCTGATGAATTTCTGAGCAATTAATAATTTTAATAACTTTTTTATAATGTGCTTGTTTATACATATATGCATATATATGTACATATACATACATATTTTATACCTACATACATATACATATATGTATATATACATATACACATTTAGTAATTTTTTTATAATATTGTGTGTATTTATACATATATACATATATGTATATGTATAGACACACACATACATGAATATATATGTGCATGTTTAATATATATATATATATATATATTGAGGGAGAGAGAGAAAAGGGGACAAACACAAACATACATATATAATAATAAATTAAATAAATATTTTTTTATTAGTATTAGTTAATTTTAATTTTAATATTTTATTATAATATTCAATGTTTTAAAACACAGTCTAATAATTAAACCGATAAGGTCATTAGATCATAATTTAACCAATTCGATCACGGGTCGAATCAGTTGATAATAACAAATATTTAAAAAATAAATTAAAAATTTAATAATTTAAGTATAGTTAAGCAATATATTTTTGCCTAAACTTTGTAGTTATAGATCACATGGCAACATTAAAATATTTTTATCTGTTTATTTAGTAATTAAAATTATATAATTAAAATTTTAAGAAATAATCTTTTTTAAGAATCTAATTTTTATTATTTTTATATCTTTTCTTTTTTACTTTTTCAATATTTAAATTAAATAAAACATATTGTAAAAAATTATTTAAAATATTTTTTTAAAATTTTTTATACAGTTGTATATCATTTTTTAATATAATTAAATAAAATAAAAATTAAAAGGGGAAGAGAGAGGCGGGGCGGGGGGTTTGAAAAAGGAGGGAAGAGAGCGAGAGGAGGGAATTTGAAAAAAGGGAGAGAGAGAGAGAGAGAGAGAGAGAGAGGCGTGGAGTGGGTGGTTCGAAAAAGGGCGAACAGCGAGAGAGGAGGGTGGCGGCTTGAAAAGGGTGAGAGAGAGAGAGAGAGGTTTTTTTTTAACATTTTTTTGTCAAAAAAAAAATTGACGGAAAAGGTCCATAATTAAAAAAAAAAAACTGTTGGAAAATCCTTTTTAGCGAAACTTGAAATTTAAGCCTTTTGTGACAATTTTCCATCGACAGAGAGGGTTTAAAGGCCACCAGACTATCTCTCACTCTTCGCTCACTTGTCACTTTCTGTGCTCTCACTACACCTCCCTCCCTCTCTCTCTCTCTCTCTCTCTCTCTCTCTCTCTACTGTCCACTGTCGCCTCCACCGTCTGCGTGCTTCGCCATTTGCATGTTCTGCCGTCCGCCTGCTCTGCTGCCCGTGTGCTTCGCGGTCCTTCCTTGCCACTAAATACACGTTATAGGTAGGTAATTTTACTTTATTAAAAATGTTATTTCAATCTTATTACTGGCTGTCTTTTAATTTTTACGTTACATTATTATTTTATGTATAAGTTAAAATTTTTATATTATATTATTATTTTATATATTATTAATATTTTCATTTATCTTTTAATGTAAAACAAGTACAGGCATAGTTTTTAAAAGATTCAATCTTTCTATGCCTCAGTTGGAGGTTTAAATACTTTAAATGGTGGTGCAACCTTGGGGCATTTGCTTGCATTGATTGAATAAGGTAAAGAAAATTAAGGTTTAAATAAATTTTATTATTCTAAATAAATTTTATTATACTTATTAATCTCTTATGATTTTATTCGATTTGACTAATAAAAATAGATAAGGGTATCTGCTAGAATTTTTTATCCTAATCATTTATAAAATTATCGAACATGTATAAAAGGGTGATAAGGTAGGATAAATTTATTTTATCTTATTTTATCAGGTAAAGCGAACAGCCCTCTATTTAAGACAGAGTTGGGTCCATGTTGTTGACGGAAGAATGATGGGTCACATGTATTAT